AAAACGAGAAGATAAATTCTGTAAAGATAAAGTATACAGTATAACAAAACTTTCTGTTAAAGATTCGCTTTATAAGAAGGAGTGGAACCAAATCCAAATCCACGTAACTGGGAATTTCTTCCACATGACTTTGTGTGGTAGAATGTCATGTTTTGTTTTTCTTTCTATCGATTTGAAATCGTTTTCATGTCATTAACCTAGTGATATAGACAAAGTAATGCATGATGTTTTCCTATAATTGGAAAGGCGATGTTCACTGTTTGAAACACGTAGTTTATTGGTGAAGAAGAATAAAAGAAGAGACAAACTATTTTGTGTTTCTTTTTCCGCATCAACTTGGTTCCTTTCACACTACAAGCTTTATTTATAAAGAAATTTCTTGGTCTATATAACAAGTTGATGATCTAAAAAAATATTTTAAAGTGATTTATATTGGATTGGTGATTGAAATGATTATTTGTGCACTGTTAGCAGTCACAACTTGTGCAATCTTCAAAATAATTCCATGGTACGAACGAAACTAAAGAGTTATGAGATTAGTGTACTAAGCGAGAGAGGTAGAGATTGAAAATAACTGAGCGAATGATAGACGTTGTGCTGATCCAAAGAAAATAGTAAGTCGCTACAAGTTGCTACACTAAGATCATAGTACTAGGAAATATCTAGAAGATAATATGATGGAATAGAGAATACAGATACTATTAACATAGCATCATGCTAAATTGGTTTCCATCTTCAAATTCATTACGTCAATGTGCAGCAGTCAAACAGACCAAAATTATCAACATATCTCATGCCGGCAGTCACTAGCTACAAATACTGGAACCAATTTCTGATAGAATTCACCGCTGAAGTACCTAAGTTGTAGTAGTACATCAAATAAAGCGGTAAACTTACATGTATACTGATCAGATGATTGAATCATACTGCAAGAACCTTCAGTGGATGAAAGTTTAAATTCATAAAAATGTCATTGAACAACCTAGATATAGGTGTACACATCAGACACCAGATGTTTTCAATGTCATTATCCTGGATCATCATTTGTTAAAGATGTATTTATGGTTGTGCCACTACGTTCCTCCAATTTTCACGATTTAACTCAACATGAAGAAAACCCGTTGATTGACAATAAGAAGGCAACACAGTCTTTCTAAGTCAAGATGTGGATTACATTGCGCCTATAGTTTCAACGGAAAGAACAAATCATGTGTGCATCAAATTCCAACGCTAAGCTACGCATCACCATAGAACAGAGCATAGAATGGCAGTCAACTCTCCACCTCAACCTCATCCACTTTGAAAACGCCTTCAACAACGTCCATCAACAAGTAAGTTGCAAACTACAAACTACTTCAACACTACACTTTTACTCTCACAAACCTTTATCAACCTCATTCAACAACTATATGAAGACGCCACATGCCAACTCATTCACAATGGAAAGCTAACTGGCACCTTTGAAGTGAAGACAAGATTAACATAAGGCTGCCACCTACTATCATCAATGATCTCCCTCATTGTCGTCGACTAGACTGGATCATGCAACAAACTGTGAGCAGTGAGAAGACGGGCATACGCTGACCGGACCGATGAAAACACCCACAGAACAAGATTTCGATTTCGCCAACGATGATGATTTATGTCTAATGTCTTGTCGCACAAACTCGAAGATCTACAGGCAAAAACCAACAACTTCACAGAAGAGGTAGTGAAGATGGAACTTCCTTCAGGTGAACGTAGAGAAGACAGAGGTGATGAAGATATTCAACCAACAACAACAAGCACCAATCAGCATCAACGGGAGAAACCTAATGGAAGTAGTAGTCTCTTTCACCAACCATCGTTTCAACTACAGTCAGTGGCACAGGTGAGGACGTCAAATGAGCCATGATCGGAAAAGCAAGACAGGCTCTCGTTAGTCTGAAACCAGTGTGGTAATCTACTCCACTCGGCACAAAGAACAAGATCCGGATTTTCGACACCAACTTCAAGTCAGTCCTCCCATATGTTTCAGGAACTTGGCGCGTTACGAAAAGCGTTCCCAACAAACTACAGACATTCATCAACACCTGCCGCCTACGCTCGATACTGACGCTGAAGATTGGATGGTGAGAATAGTAACTAACCAACCAAGAACCTATAGCCCAACAAATATGCAGAAGAAAGTGGAGATGAATTGGACATACACTGAGAAGGCCAACTGGGGACATCACGCGCCAAGCCCTCGAGCGGAACCCCAGTGGGAAACGGCGAGTTGGGCGTCCGAGGTGAGGGTGACATGGAGGAGATGATGTGAGGAAGAAATGAAGGGTTTTAGGAAATCGTGGAGGCGGGCTGGAAAGACTTCAGAGAAGAGAGTGAAATGATATCGTGCTACTGAAGCCCTACGTTCCACTAGGAACCCAAGGGAAAAATAATAAAGAATAATAATATAGTTTCAACGACATATCCCAACACATGCAAAGAAAGCAGTGTAGTTCACGGAAGTTCTCTGGTTTCTACTATATGGTTGTGAAAAGTTTCCACTGAACCTCGAAGATATTGAAAAGATTAAAGTTTGGAAAGAATTCAGTGCTTCAAAAACACTACTCACATGTCAAGTCCTACGTAGAACAGGCAAATTAGTTGAGTCATTTGTGTACCTTTATCGACTCAAGTGTCAGATATATATTATGGATGATTAGTCATCTTCTACTTCAACATGCAATGATAAATGGAGTCGGACTAAACTGGGAAAATGGTTAAATTAGTCAGAATAAAACATTGCGTCAGCCCAAAAAGTCTCTAATTATCGGCTTTAGCATGAAGATAGATGCAAGCTTTTCGGCTGGGGCTCTTGAGACAACCAAAATCGGTAGTTGGAGACTCTACGGAGCGCCGGTAAAAATCGACCATAGTGATGTAGGTGCATTAACACATTACCACCCAAATTTTTATATCACAGTGGGTTACTTGTTTAACTCCCTCCTGTTATGATGTCACACAACTTTTGACATGGTCGAGGGTTTGATGATCTCGATTACCCTATGAAACATGTTCTCATATGACTTGATGGCCACTCTGTCAGGTTAGTCCTACTCGATGCATTCATGTGGTGGTCGGTGTTACCACAAAAGTGAGAGGGAGAAAGCCGACTTTCGGCGTTGTAACCAGATCAGTGTACAGAAAAAGTACATCTAGAAGAGTTCAAAAACCCTGATTCCAAACCAGCGGTGAGTGTAGATTCTACCATCCACCACAGAAGGATGGAGTAACAATATATCTTGGTGACCGGCAACTATGAGAATGAAGCAGCTTATGCTCCTTTACTGCCTCGTGCATCGAAATTCAAGTCAAAGATTTGAGGAGTAGAACCCGTTGAAATAAACACCCGCTTTTGGTGTGGAACTTCGGGATACATCACAGCCTCTATACAACTGATGAAGACTTTCAAGAGATCACTGCACTATGCTTAAGAGACGAAGTCCATTTTGTAACGAACGTTCCATCCGATCAATCAATTTACTGTCTTTATATTGTAATCATTTTTACATCTGAACTATGCTGCATTTTAGTCAACCTAGTGCATATTTTTGCTTGACTCAGCTACTCATCGCTGATTAAAATTCTGGTTTGCCTGCAACGTATTAAGTCCCTAAACAGTTGCTTCCACGAAGCCATTCTTCAGTGCAGTATCTGACATAGCTATTCTGAAACCGAACACACCGCGTATGCTGACGATCTTCAATGTTCGGTTTTTGGCGCGGGTCCACAACAGATAGGTTGGGAAAGGCCGATGTGAGTAGTTTTGTTCCACACCTGTGAAACCTAGCCTCTCTTACTTGAGAATGTTTGACGGCTCTGAGTGTTTGATCATTGCTATTTCCGCAGGATTTCTTGCATACGTTGGTAACACCACATGAGTAATTCTAAAGTGGCACGGTGCGTTGGGGTGTGTTGAAATCTGTCATTCATCAAGTCATGTCATCTTGAAACACTAACCTTGGTGGGTTGGACACGTGCTGTGAATGCCACCCCAGTGGCTCGCATACTGTCCACTGTTTGCTTAACCTAGGACTGGTTAGATGAAGCAGAGAGGTAGTCAGTGTATGACGCATAGCTCACACTGGAAACCAGTCACGATAATGTTGCAGCTTTCATTCTTCTTCCGTTATTGAAAAGTAAGGTGCGACTAATGAACATTTCTTTGAATTTAGCCTTGAAACTGACTCTTCAATAGCCCATTTATACTGTTTTCCCGCACTTTTCTTTTCTTCTCGTTTCTAAACCACTTTTTTCATCTTAAATAAATTGCGACACTAGTTCGTATAGTATCTCTTTTGGTCCTTCACACTCGTGTTCACAATTATGCAAGAGATTCGCAGAGTGGCTCAATTGAATATTCTTTTGACAGCCTTCACTAGTCTGTGTTTAAGTAACTCACCTAGTGCATCTTCATAGAATTCTAAGCTCAAAATCAGATTTTTCCTCTTCACATTGATAAGAAGCTGATAAATAGTATTCCGACATGCTATCCATTTGCGATGAACTTCGATCTCAGAAGTTGAATTTCGTCTTCTAAAGTACATGAATTGAATTTCTTCTTCGATTCATAGGAACCCAGGCTAAGAAAGTTTATCATTTGTCTATTCCACGTAGGTTTTCCACAAGAAAAAAAAGAATATTTTAAGCGTCCTATCATCTTCTCTTGTTAACAAATACTTCAGTATGGCTCAGTTATAGAGATAACGTTGTGTTGATGAGTATTCGCCGTTTAGTATGTAACTCTAATCAAAGTGTTTACATGTATCTAGAGATGAGATCACTTGTAATAAACCTTTCAATCACATTATTAACAATAAAAGGAAATATTAACCGAATTATTACAAACATGTACATATATATATATATATATATATATATATATATATATATATATATATATATTAACCCTATGATAAGGTGTTTTATAAATACAAGGGATTTTCTTATTAACTAATGCGCTGCAAACAACTCACAGTTAACTGATTATAGTTTAATCGTAATACTTCAAGAGCAATAAGCATATTGATCTCTGTTGGTAGTTCTGTTAAATGATTAGAGCCCAAATCCAATTCAACTAGTGTTTTCAATTCATACAAATCTAAATATATATATTTATTGAGAAGAATTTTTAACAATGTATAATATTATATAAAAGTGAACAAGTTAATGATTCAATCATTAAATAAATATTAGGTAATTAAAAAAAAATACTTTGATTAAAATTTATTTATATGTAATCCCATAGTGCATATGTATACATGACTGATTTAAATCATTAAAAGGAAACAAACTCGACTGAGTGCATTAGACTATACATAAACGATTAGTTAACTATGCATAATCAACTGGTTATTGTAAAGATTAACCTATGCAATAGTATAGAGAAATTATTCTAAGGATAGACAAACAACATATTGGTACAAAGTTCTACTACTATATGAAGAATATAATATTCATATCACTATACCTTGTTTTCATTGATCTTCCTTCCAATTTTAAGACAGTGTTAATATCATTATAGATGATATGAAAATTATTTCACAGATTAAAAAAGCTTATGTTTAGTTGGATCACCGTGTGAGCAGTATTGACGTTTTGAACCACCATCGGCTGAAGTGGCTTGAACATGTACTGTGTATACCGATGCACCGTCCACCTTGACGTCCCATAACTAGGTGAAGCTGAATTAGGTTGGAAAAGGGTTCAGGGTGACTAGACTAAGATGTGGCACCAGCCAATGAAGTCCCCAACTGTTGGTTTGAACAGTTTTCGGAGATGTAGACTGCCTAGTTGAGGTCCCAGAGACTAAAGAAACCAATGGTTGAGGGCTCTTTGTGACATGGCTGAAAATCGGTCACAATGACGCAGATGTATTCACTCCTTGATATCTTGTAAAACTTGAATATTGGCACTAACCTTTATCTTTTCGGTTTAACAACACTAGGACATTTTTTTCAGAATCATGGCAGGGGAGAGAAATATAAGTTGGTGTTAAACACTTTAACTCTGAACTTATAAACAATACTGATTTCCAAAGCACAATGACTGAAACACAACACATAACGCTTAACAGTGGTGAATTATCTACGTTACGGCGCTTAGACATATGCCACAACAGACTCAACTTGATGACTTTAAATGAGAAGAAATATGAACACACTGAAGCTAACAGCGAAGTACCAAGCGCGTTTTCCACCTCAAAGCATCCTGTTAACTGTCGACTCTCAAAATTCTCACGGACTTCTTAAAAGAGGACACTTTCTGCTAGTCTGCATTTTCGACAAGTGACCATGCCTACTGAGACTCCGCGGATAGACAAGAGTGCGTAGATAACATACAGTTACTAGGTGAAAGTAGTGCGAAGATAAAGTCTTTCAGGTGTTTTGAGAATTCTCGGGATGCATTCCCTACTATCGAAATGTGAATTGTTTCTTCAGGACTGATCTGCGCTGATACCTCACCTAAAAAAAGGATTTAAGTGGTTTAGTGGGTTGACCAGGACGAAATGACCATACGGATACAAAGAACTGAACTAACATACAGAATTTACAGCATCGGTGAGATTGTTTACTAAAGCCGAACTGTACTGTGCATCAGTCTGCGCTGCCCTACTCTATATGTCTGTGGAAAGTATCCACTAAACGTAAACATCTAAAGAATTCTGATGTCCCTTCGTAGCCTTCACCATATGTTATAGAAACACAACAGTAATAATGTAAATTTTTAGATAAAATCTTCGGTAAAAGAATTAAAGCAGTTGTAAGGTCATGAAATATCATCAACTCAAAAGGTTGGGATATGTTTTATGCATACCTAGTCACCACTAACCCTGACCTACAATGATGTTTACAAGCTACTCTATCCGAAATGAAAACATTAGTCAAGTTGATAACCATTAGTTGTGTTAATGCTTTGAACTTTTCAAAACATTGTAGTAACATATCTATCTATTGTACTAGAATGTGAACTTTGCACAGTTGCAGGTAAATGAAGTGAACACACAAGTCAAAAACGTGATCAAGTGGTTAATTATAACGTTAGTACATTTGAATATTTCACGTGAAATATACCAAAATACAATGAGTAGACAGCAATTATTCACTGGAAAATAATGACAAATATATTACTATTACGTGATTTCTGAATTGACAAACAACGTATTACTTAGCTTTATTATTCAGTATGTGATCGAAGATATTACACCGACATGTGGACTGATGCAATTCTGATTAAAGTACAATATCCAAAACTAGAAAGAGAACAACTTTTTTAAAAGTTAATGTCTAGAGCAACCGCCAACTATCCGATTGTATACAGTGATTCAGGCTGTATAACAGACATTTATTCAGCCAGTAGTCAAGAAAACAGGATTTACATTGGCTACAGTTGCAGGAACCTAAGGTTCTAGAACCCACTGCTAAACCTCAATGCTTTGGTAATTTAGTGTTACGAAAAGGCCGATATACCACAATTAATCGACTGGGTATCAGCATCCCTCAAACGATTCTACCTGTTGACAGCGTGTATAAAGAACATCTCAGAAATAAAAGTAGTTGTTTTTGAAAAATAATAACGAAGGTAATACATACCAAATAAAGTGACATACTATAAATCATTAGTTAGCGACATTCAACCGAATGATTTATTGTCTCCCTGAGGAGTATTATCACTTTTTTCTCTGCGTATGAACAGTGGATTTGTTCATAACACACCCTAGTGACCAGTCAAAATGTCTCGTTCTATTCTATAGGAGGTTGATCGCCGTCCGAATAGCCCAGTGGTAACGCCTTTGGCTGCAGCACTAAGTGAATATGATTCGAATCTTTCAGGGGTCATCAGTTCCCTTGAGGTTGCAGATACGCCTTAATGATGAGTGTTAACAAGCACGAACCTAGATTTAAAGCTTTCTGCTGATTGAATTTAACCATCAAAAATCAACTGATAGTCTGTTGTTGTTTTTTTCGAGTAAAGCTTGACTGTTTTATAAAAAGTTGAAAACTGAAGAATCTCATCACTGTACTGAATTCTTATGCGTACCGAAACGCGTCACCATGCAACTGTTTCACCTAGTTTTCAATCACCAGGAGAATGAGTAATTATTTCCAGAGTTGTTTTGTTAAATAAATCATAGGAAGTTCATTCAGTCGTTCATATTTCAACTAAACTCAGTGTTTAAAGTAAACTGTTGGCAATTATTAAAATTTCATAGGTGGTTTTCAAATAAACAAATATTATGGAATAAACTGGTAATGACAACTATTATTTCAGTTATACAAGCAAACATAAACGATATACAAACTAACCTGGTCCAATTAAACCATCCAGTGTATTATCACGTAAATTCAACTTAGTCAAATTCGAAGATAAACTGAACATAGATTTTGGAATGTTTGTAATTTGATTATGATCCATATTAATTGACTAAACAAACAAAGAGACAAATTGAAATGAAATAACCATTAAATAGTCTAATACAATTAAAATATAACCATATTCATGATAAATATATTGTAAAAGACAATGAAGAAGAAAATTATATTAATGATAAATAGTGGTTAGCAGTGGAATCCAGGACGCGAGAATAGAGGGATACGCTGAACCACGGAAAAGAACCTAGAAGATTTGGATTTCGCCAACGATTACTTCTGTCTAATGTCACACAAACTTGAAGATCTACAGGCGAAAACTAACAAGTTAACAGAAGAGGCAGAACAGCGAAAACAGGACTTCAAGTTAACATAGAGAAGACAGAGGTGATGAAGATACCCAACCAATACCATCACCAAAACTTAAAGAAAGTAGCCTCCTTCACCTATATAGGCAGCACTCTTTCAACTACAGGTTGTGGTGACACACACGACGATGTCAAAGTCAGCCACGATACGAAAAACAGCAACACAGGCATTCATTAGCCTGAAACCAGTGTGGAGATCTTCTGCACTCCACTCCACTCCACTCAGCCAGCACAAAGCGTCAACAACATCCGGATTCTCAACACCAACACCAGTCAAGTCAGTGCTTCTATGTGATCATTCAGAGACTTGGCGCATTACGAAAGGCATTTCCAGCAAACTACAGACATTCATCAACAACTGCCTACACTGCCTCCTCACTGAAGCTCAGATCACATGGCCAGAATAATAAGAATAAGCAACAACGAACTCTGGCCTGCCAACGAACCAACCAACAACCTATCGCTCAACAAATATACAGAAGGAAGTGGAGATGGATTGGACTGGGCATACACTGAGAAGGCCAACTGGGGATATCACGCGACAGGCCAGGCACTCGAGTGGAACCCAGATGGGAAACGGTGAGTTGGGCGTCCGAGGTGAGGGTGACATAGAGGAGATCGTGCGAGGAAGAAATAAGAGCTTGTGGGGTGTTGTGGAGCCAGGTTCAAAAGTTTGCCGAGAAGAGAGTGGACTGGAGACGTGCTACTGAAGCGGTATGTTCCATTAGGAACCCAAGGGATAAATAATAATAATAATAATAGTCAGTTAAACCTTTCAACTACCACAAAACAAACTGGAAGTTTTAGAAGTCTTGCATAAGATTTGCAAGTGAAAAAAGGGAACGTAACTGCATAATGAATATTGGGTAGCTGACGCGTTTAAAATAGGACGAAACGCACCTCTTGGATTATACCGCTAGCCATCAAATAGACTACAATATAAGGAATACTCAAGCAGTATAGGAGCCTCCTCATAGCAGCCTATTTGCCAACACAGGTCAAACAATTCTACCTAGTATATCAACAGGAAATTGCAAGTGTAGTGGTCGTTGCTGATAAGAATAGATATAAGTAGTATATGTTCAGAGGGCGACAGAAATCATAAGGAATTACCAGCAGTAGGTAAAAATTCTGTTCAGAGACACACAAGAGACAAGGTGGACGTATTAAGAGCAAATCAAGATAGAAGCAGAAGAGGAAATGAAGCACATCATGCAAATAACTGTCTTAGTGGAAGGTGTACAATATTCGATGACTACTGTACAAGATGTCGATAATAAACATTCTTTCCACTGTCTCCATCTTGTTGTTTTCTATACAACCATCAATAGACACCAAGTACTGAACTACTTCTCCAGACACTATGAAATAAAATTGCAGGGATACCTTGCTGTGAAGCACCTGTTGGATTTGAGAGCTGTTACGGTAGTCTTTGAACGATTCATTTCATAAAAAAAATATATTGAAGAGTGTTAAGTAAGGAATTAGCTACTGTCGTAGTATGAAAAACTGCACTGTGATAAACACCGTCATATAACACAAATATTACTGTACTGACATCTGATAGTAACAAGTCATTTCCTTAGGGGGACTAACTACTGCAAATCTATTAACTACGCGTTTTAAGAAGGATTAAAAAAAGGTTGATCCTAAAAAGAATCACATTTTTCTTAATAAAAACGCTTAAAACTGAACACCTCCAGAGAACCTGCATGTCACATAAAACCATCTTATTCTTCAGCTACTTCAGTAATGTAAGAAATTAACAGGTGTCTGATATTGAAAAACCTCGGATAACATTTTAAAAAAAGCTCCCAGGACTCAAAGTGATTTTCATCTTTATCTATTTCTCGTTAATATCCTATTTATATATATTTTTTAAAGACTCTCTCCCTCCCAATTTAACATGTATCAACGAAATTCGACTAATGCACAATAACCTTAAGACTATTGACATAGAGAAAGAACTAGGTTTAAAGATCTATTCTGACCAACTGAGTGAACAAATGGTTTCAAAACGCAGTAAGAGATGCATATTGGATATCAAATTTTGTAGACCTTATTAAATTAGAACATGTGTACTATTTTTATGTCAAAACTGTGCAAATACTTTAAATGATGCTTACGTTTTTTCGCGTTATTTATATTATCAATATCTTAACTACATCGGTTCCGAAAAGAAATGTTATCTCAATGCACAGATGAATGAAGTGGATGAAATGAACTCAGAAGCCTTGCAAATATTTGTACCACACCTATTGTGTAAAAATTAATGATACTACCTGGTTCCCTGAACTTTGGTAGATGGAGCGGCGCTCAAACCAAGTAATCCAGTAGTTGAAAGTCATCTCCGTAAAGCAATGATCCACAAATCCACTATAATGCATAGACTTAGAAATTAACCTCTAGCGCATGCACACCTGTAGTAAAAAGGTTCTTAATATTAGTCCTCTAATTACATGCGATAGATCGTAGATGAATATCTGTCTATTTTATAAGCAATAATGAGAAATCAAGCGACCATGAACAATAGAATTTATGTTCATAATGATACTAGCAAACTACGCTACTTCACTAAGCCAATTAAATGTCTAAATTAAGAAATGCTTCCGTTTCACATAGCAAAACCGAGAAAAAAATCTCGATCTATATAGAAAGCAAGTGATCGCTCAATAGTAACACGTGCAATAAGTTTTTATATATATATATATATATATATATATTGGAGATATGAAACACTTAAGTGTGTCTCATTGAATACAGTGAAGTTGGATACACTACATATACCGCCCTTTTAGGTATACTTTTATCCAGTAACATTTAAAGTTTACTTTCATACACGAAAATTAGATATGTGCTTCGTTTTTTTGATTAAATTTATTTATATAGCAGAAATAGTGCTATTGTCAACAGTCCAACAAATTTAAAAATATGAATCGTTTACTAATCAAGAACGCTTGCTAACATTTACGTTAATATTAGATAGAGATAATCATTGTGATATTTTTAACCTGAGCAAAGCACAGAATTTTTATCTCATGTTAATATTATATATGGAAACAACGGTGTTTTTTTTTCTAAACTAACATGTGTGTTTAGCATTATTATATAAATTTTGCAAAGAATAGACAAATTTATCTAGTTTTCAGATATACATATTTATATATATATATATAGATACACGGAATGCGATTTGCCAGAAAACAGACTAGTCATGTGATTGACATATTAAATAAAAAGCTTGCTAATGTCACGTGAGATAAGTGAAATTATTCATAGAAAATCATTTGCTCATAAAGCAGAGGCGTTTATCATCACTTCAATGTAGGTTATATATATATATATATATATATATATATATATATATATATATATATATATATATATATATATATATATATATATATATATAACCTACATTGAAGTGATGATAAACGCCTCTGCTTTATTATAGAAGGCCGTGCGTTCGCATCCGAAAAGAATGGAAACAATCATGTTTTTCCACCTTTAACAGATGGTGTGCTTTTGACACATTTCGTGATATTTGCATATACCACATTAACCAAGTTATCCAATAATTAACAAATAACTCCTATGTTTATCGTTGGATAATTATCACTCAGATGTAAAATGTATGATAAAGCTTTCTTCGACTTGACCATTATTATCTTTGTAACATAAACCATCTTTTGCGGTAACATCACAACAGTAATGCAGACTTCAAATATACGGTTTTAAGTTTTTAGTCAGTTCAGGCAGCTGTAAAACTTTATTCACTCAGATGGCTAGGATATCTCTTACACACACATGCTTAGTCACAGTCTGCCTCAATGATGCGATGTTAGCTGGAGGAATAGGTTTACAATAAAAAAGGTTTGAGGTGACCAGACTAAAATATACCACCAGTCCATGAAATTTCCAATTGTTGACTTGAGTCCGGTTGGGAAATGTAGACTTCGTGGTTGGGGTCCGCTTGACAGATTCTCGATAACATAGGTTAGAATAAACCTCAGTGATGCACATGTATGCATATATTATCTTCATCTTAATCATGCGATCAAATTTAACGACTGTTTTATTCCCTCTTCTTCTTTTTTCTCGACTTTCTGACACCTTTGACTACTTCCTTCTCTAGTTCTCTATCTTTTCATATTGATGCCTTCTGCGTGGGTGTGAAAAAATGAGGTATGATAAATTGGGTCGTTGTTACATGCAGTGTTGCCGGGTCTCATGTTGACATTGACTATCGGACTGATTAAGAAGCTGTATGGGTGAAATATGAATCAATTTCAAAGTAGTCTTCACTACAGATAAAAATGAGTTGGATAACCTAATTGGCACTACTCAGCAATGAGATCTAGCCAACGATTGGCAAGTCATATATATGCACCTATTCACAATTCAATTGGCCACTTCTATTCAAACTTGTTTGATTCGCCATGATAATCATACAATGTTGCGATATGCTCGACCCAAGAGTGATTTTCTACGTGTGATCTTGCGTATAAAGCAGGAAAATATTCAAAATAAGGTGAAACAAGTGTCTATTCACTGGCTGGCTTATAATAGATTTTTAGTTAGTAGGGAAAAGCATTTCAAAAGGAATCTATCTACCAAATGATAAAAGTGACTTTCAATGATTCACCTTCCCAGAGTTTCATTGTAGCGTCAAAATAAATCGCTAGAGTGAGAACATATATTAAAAAACAGTATTCTGTGGTGCCTAGCTATAGAAATTAGGACATCAAAGGATAACTGACCTATACGAGCTACTAGACCAATGACCTGAGATTGAAAGGTATAGAACTAACGCAAATAGTGTACATAGAATAACTACCTTCATACAGGAATCTAATACATAATACTTTAGCAACTGAACCCATAAACGTGGGTTCGAACCTAGAACCATACAGTGAGTAACTACTATGATAAAGCTGTCTTGTAAAGCAAATTTTCATTTCATAGAAGAATTATATGACATTTCACTTTTAGCCATCATCAGAATTTTATTGTTTAAATATGATTTAAAACGAAAAAGTATATAATAAAAACTCTGCTATGTGATGTGATCATACTACACAAACACAAACAAATAATACATATTCAATGTAAGCTTCTTGAAAACATCATACATATCACATGGAAAAAAAAAAGGTTGTTAAAGCATATGACAAACAGCATGATCTAACTGACGAAATCAAGTCATCATAGCTGGATGAGGCGAAATACCTCTCTATATATCTCAGATATTATTCCTTCTGGTTACATTTACTAACTTACAGTATGAACGAAAAGCAAATAAATTTCACATGTATACTTTATCAGTACAAATATACAATTAAAATATGATGAAAGTATAATTGTGACTTAAATTTTTAGATTAAATGAAATTTATTATCATAGTGAAGAGTTTCGTTATAGACCAGTGCTCCAATACAGAAAGTGGTTACAGTATATGACTAAGAATCCCGTTTTTGATTATTGTAGTAGTTATCTCTCTAATACTAGCAAATTGATACAGATCTTCTTTCATTCTAAGAAAAATTGATGCCTAGTTTTGAAATGGTTTTACCTATTTCTTGGCAAATTTCTTATCTGTATATTTATCACTAAAAAATCTATTCTTCTCTCTTTGAATATATCATACATTGGTGCCATGTTTTAGTATGGCCACCTCGGGCCTTTTACCAGCCTACACCTACTCCGGCCAACATTATGTGACAAGGCAATCGGCGAATAGGCATAGGTAGTACGTGTCCCAACCATTTCAGTCGATGAAGGCCAATAACCTCGTCAACTGATTTACCTCTTCTCCCTAAATCTCAGCGCTAGACTTCTGCGTTACTTACATGGTGACACCACAGAATACGGCCTATACTAAGAAGGCAATGGTGGTCAAACACTTGAAGCCTTCTCATATCTTCCACTTTCAATGGTCATGTTTCACAGCCATACAGTAGAATAGACTGGACTACTGTGCAGTACATGTATAAATTATTAGATGCATTTCCATTTCTCAGGTGGGATGATAGTAAGTACAGTTATATATGTAGAATGATGCTCACAAATCAAAGTGCGTTAACTGGGGTTTTAAATTGTAACAAAAGGGATTCAAGATTGTAGTTTTCACTTCAAAATATATACATTGAAAACAAAGAAAATCCTATAACATATAGGGATGACTTTTAACCTCATCTAAAATAAATAATTTATTCAAATTACATTTAATCATAAATTCATTGAATCAATTGTTGAGTTAAAGTCTTTTTAAATGAACTCATTTTTCAAAGCTTTACAACTGTTTATAGATATTAAGTTGTCAACTCATCTATCTGGTTAGAAGATAAAGTTAATATATATGAGGGGGGGGTTAAGAGATATCACCACCACCACCACCACCACCACCAAGTTATCCAATCTAATGAAAGTCAAATAGGAATTGTACCCTGGACACCATCTAAAAGTAAAGTGTTTAAGACAATGAGGCAGAATTTACAAATAAAAATACAGCCATATAAATTTATATTAAACTTTGAGGTCATTAAAGTATATTTAAAACAAAGATTTATTTTTTGAGCAATCCTGAAAATACTTTAGTATTATTATTAGCACTTTCAAAAAATAATGTAAGCAAAACTGAGCAGTGAAGCATGTGAGTTAATGTAATCTATTTCTACTTTTGACATCATTTACTTAACAAAAATAAATGAAGTATAATTGTTTTTATATGATACTGTCATTGATTGGACCGCATTGATCGGTCTCTATTGTCATATGGGCTCTTGTGCGGATGTCTCGATATTGCCTGCGCTGTAGTTATATTAATGATGGATCGTGGCTAGCAGTGGAATCCAGGATGTGCATTTCGTCCCATTTCGGACTCGTCAGCTGGATGTACCTGCTTCCCAGTGAGTGATGTTGTTCCCACCGGGATTCGGACTCGGGAGCGATCGCTTTAAATGCCAGGGAGTTATCTACTACACCACCGAGCCACGATATCCACTTCTTGTGTGACGGGTATAGTTTTAGTATAATTGTTTTTATATGATACCATCGTTGCTTGGACCGAATAGATCGGTCTCTATTGGCATATGGGCTCCTGTGCGGAGACAAGAAATCGCACAAGAAGTAGCTATCATAGCTCGGTGGTGTAGTAGATAACTACCTGGCGTTTGAAGCGATCGCTCCTGAGTCCAAATCCCGGTGGGAACAATATCACTCACTGGGAAGCAGGTTAATCTAGCTGACGAGTCCGAAATGGAAAGAAATGCACATCCTAGATTCCACTGCCAGCCATGATCCATCATTAATAAAAATAAATGAACACCCACGATCCCTGGAGGGGTCGTGGGTACGCACTGTTGAGTAGTCCCATACTAGGATGAAACAGCTATCCAGTGCTCCCAGGTTTCCTTTGTTCCTCCAACTGATGTCAGTCTACGATGAATAACAACTTCAATAGGGTATATTTTGAGAGAATGCATGATAATAATATACAAATATTATCTAACTAAACAATCATATCTCTGTGAGCTTTTTAGTTCAAATCATATTCAGCAATTTACTCAATGGTGAAACACTTTTTTGTTGAAACAATGAACAAATCATACAAGTACACAAATCAACTTCTAGCAAGCAAGTTACTTTACATTTGTAGTGATGACGCATATAAAGTTGCATTCATCAAAAATTGAGATGATTTGGAGAAAAATTGAACACCTACAAATACTGGGAAGTTGTTTCGCCCTAGTATCCGGACTCTACAGCAGGGTGTATACACAAACCAGCGACCACCGCATTACCGGCCCAGTGGTCACTGGTTCGAATCCGGCCACAGTCCAGATTTTTATCTCACCTTCAATCATCACCCAGTATAAATTGATTATGAGCTGGTAGGATAACTTAACACAGTGCATAGAAATCTGCTGAGCTCTATTTCTGATCATCATAAATCGGCTTTGCCTTATTTACAATTTTTTACCGGCAGTCTCATAATTTCTATTGTCAAACAAGTTTATCTACTGACATATACCTAATCTGTTAAACACTGTCTCTCTTACTTATGATTTCATGAACAAAAATTTCTTTGTTTTTCATTCTCTTCATCGTCAATGCACTTGGAGGGTAGATGATGAACCCACTCAGGAATGAGAACGTAACGCATATTACTGGAAAAGTACTAACTAAAATAATATTAAACACTTGGGTCGGAGGAACATTCATAAGACCATACACAATAAGTTGTAAACTCAGGTGCAAGGATGATGATGCTTAAGTGTATTCCAGTAATAGGAAACCAGTAAGTCGCATTCATCTTGGTGACTAGCAGTGGAATCCATGACGTGCGTTTCGTCCCACTAAGGACTCATCGACTGAATGTACCTGCATATCAGTGAGTTTTGTTCCCACTGAGACTAGAATTCAGTACTCATCGCTTCAAACGCCGAGGCATTATCCGCTAGGCCACTGGAGCACGAGAGCCACCCTATTGTGCAACAGGTATTAGTTTCTGTTTTGAAACTTGTAATTTCCTGTTCCTATACATCATTCACTGGGGTGCAGGTACATCAACCTAACGAGTCCCAAATAGGATTCCACTGTTAGTCACCAAGATGAATATAACATCATCGATATCCAGTAGTATCGAGGCGTCCGCAATGGAGCCCATCTGCCAACAGAGGCCGGGGAATTCGATCTTGTATAGCAATGGGAAATCACAAGTATCAAAACAACCAACAGCCTCTATTTAACATATTGTCTTACTACATTAGTCATCAATCAGCACTAATTAATGAATAATAAGCTACACTGTTTGAAATCTGATGATCAATTTACAAACAATTCACTTTATGAAATGTACGAGTTATAAATAGATAGCTTAGGAACATCATCTTATCACTGTACAAAAACTTCACATCGTAAACGATGAGTTACTTTCTGGTGATAGATATGCAGATATTCTGCTTATGAATGCAATAAAGCAGAAACACTAAGTAAATCTAAGGTTTCGGTTAAATATTTTGAAGAAATCTGACAATATATGCGTGATTCATCGATTAGTACACAGGCATGAAGCGGGTCAAGTTGCATCAAGAATGTATTAACTACTGGATTAGATGGCGATGATGTTCGCAAGTAGGACAATAATAATAATGTTAATAGTAATAATAATAATAATAATAATAGTGATGATAATAATAGTAAAATGTAATGATGATAATAGTACTTACGACATTTTTAACAACTTACATAACATTTCTGGAACTGTTGTGGATCACCGGAGGGGAAATTTGTAAAATAATTTCGTGACAAAGTAATATTCAACAAGTTGTGTAGATGTGCTAAGAGATTATGCTGTGCAAGAAAACAAACAAGCACATAAAAGGGTCTATTATTTTTTAAACCGCATAAAGTTGTTTTTAACGCAGAAACAAACAGAAATATTATTAAGTAATTACAAGTCATAATAATATATAAAGTCAATAAAAACCATAAAAAGTTTAAGAAACATAGAAAAGACACATATGATCTGATCAATGTATGATGGAATTCCAAGTAGTTACTTTAAAAATAGTGAAAACATTCCACTGACACTTTCCAATAATGACAAGATAAATGGATGTCTTAATGATGACGGTTACCAAGTTCGTATAGTACCTTAGTTTTATGCCTAGTGTTGGTCAGGTAAACAACTGATGGTGTACGACATTAAACAAGGCATGATCTCAATTATGGACTCATTGTTATGAACTCTAAGGGTACGACTAAGGTGGCCTAAGAACCGTTTGGTTCAAATTCTCCACTAGCACAATGGAGATAACTGTAGAACTAACCACTTCTAAATAGTCAACTTTTCGATCAAGACTGATACCTTATAGTAAAAATTATCTTTCACATAATCTAAACTCCAGTCAGAGGTTGACTGAGAAGACGATGCAAATAGAATTTCTCTCCTTCCTTTAACTTCAATTGAAGCATAAAAATATAGCTTTCAGTAAAGCTCATGTCAAGATGTACAATTTCTGCTCTGGAATGCCTACACATGAAAAACTCTTGGAATTGAAAGGCCAGTCGAATAGATTCATCAAACTAACCAGATGAAGTAAATTAAATGTTAACAATTGGAACCTATGTGCATGCCTTAACGACAAAAACATATTTGTGGCTCGAGAAGCTCCGGTGTTGTCTAGAAAAAGTTAGTTTGGTTCACTGATTGAACAAGGTACATTCCAGGTAAAGAGTTCCAGATTTAAGCTAAATTCCACCTACTTCAGCCTTAGAAACCCCGTAGTTTTACATACTTTTAGACAAGTATGGCTCATGACCTACTATATAAAACGCTTAACCGGTTCATTTGGAAAGAATTAAGAAAATTAGTTTCCAATTCCCACGACTGATGCAGATAGTCAGTGATTAAAGTTTGCAGCGTAATTTTACGAGACTACGACCTGGTGTAGTACAATGAAGAAAACGAGGTTAGATTATGAAGCCAAGAAGTATACGTGTATATTATTTGACATTGACAAGGAGCGTTTCACACTGATGAGGGTATTTTTGAGCAACTAATAATTCCTGGTTGTCCCAAAAAGTAAATTGAAATTATATGGATGTACTTCGAAGAGAAAACTGATTAGTGATGTGTGATTACTAAATCAATCTAGAAAAGACAACCGTGATGGGTAAGAATGATCGTAATGTAAAGAGGTTTAATCCTAATCATCATACACAGTAAATGCACTAAGCGATGAGCTAAACACATTACAACACAAGCGATTATGGTAGTACTCGGTAGCCCAGCTTCAATAAGTGGAACGAAGTTTAAACGCGTGATCAAGTAACTGAAAGTCGATTACCTACAAAAAGTAACCATCAGATAAGAATTGGCAGCTATCGATCTACTGTTGAACTACTATCTACCTGTTCTTTGCATACAACTATGAAATGTGGTAACTTTAGCCGATGTACTTGTGTGCGAGGTTCTACGTTGATTTTGTCCAACCTGAGAGATGACAATCTTCCACCATTTTTTGATAATTTTGTTGTTTTCTAAGTAGATCTTCCGAATTCATTTTCATTTATGCACGAAGAGCGAGTAGCAAGGAAACTACTACTACTACTAGATAATTCATAACTGCTGCTACAACTATTCACCACCATGTCTATATCCCATCTAGCGGGCTATCATTTTTCGACAAGACTGATGGTCAATGCAGAAATTCGTATATGAATATAAATTAGCATTTACTTGTTATATTGATAGATAATATTACTCGTAGATGAAAGAATGTTTTACATTACTCTTCTCTAAAACAAAACGTCAGAGAAAGTGATGAAGGAGAATATCATACAAGCATCTAAGTCTAATGTCACAGAAACTTGAAGATATACAGGCGAAATCCAACAAGTTGACAGAAGAGGCAGGGCACGGCAGCGCAGCGAAGACAGGACTTCAAGTGAATATAGAGAAGACAGAGGTGATAAAGATACCCAACCAACAACAACAACAACAACTAACTCCAATCACCATCAACGGAAGTAGCCTCCTTCACCTATATAGGCAGCACTCTCTCAACTACAGGTCGTGGTGACACACACGACGATGTCAAAGTCAGCCACGATACGAAAAACAGCAACACAGGCCTTCATTAGCCTGAAACCAGTGTGGAGATCTTCTGCACTCCACTCCACTCCACTCCACTCCACTCCACTCCACTCCACTCAGCCAGCACAAAGCGTCAACAACATCCGGATTCTAAACACCAACACCAGTCAAGTCAGTGTTTCTATGTGATCATTGAGAGACTTGGCGCATTACGAAAGGCATTTCCAACGAACTACAGATATTCATCAACAACTGCCTACGCTGCCTCCTCACTGAAGATCAGATCACATGGCCAGAATAATAAGAATAAGCAACAATGAACTCTGGCCTGCCAACGAACCAACCAAGAAGATATCACTCAACAAATATGCAGAAGGAAGTAGAGATGGGTTGGGCATACACTGAGAAGGTCGACTGGGGACATCACGCGACAGGCCAGGCACTCAAGTGGAACCCAGATGGGAAACGGTGAGTTGGGCGTCCGAGGTGAGGGTGACATGGAGGAGATGATGTTCTACTAGGAACTCAAGGGACAAATGATGATGATCTAAGTAGGTGAATGTTTACATATGAATCGATAGATAATCGTATTATAATTAAACTATACAGTAAAGTAGAAATAAACACAATAAGACAGTTTGTGTTATACAACTGCATAACAAAACGGAGTACAATAATTTATAATCTACTGAAATGTAAACAACTAAGTGATAACAGTAGAGAAACACGTGATCCCACTCAACAACAGTTTTTTTTTTAATGAGATTTAGTAGAAGTTATTAAAAACACATGAAGTATTGATATTATTACACTATGTAAACATATCTTAGTAATAGATGGAAGTGAGAACTGAATCTTTGTTCTGCAAGCTGTAAGAAGTTAACCAATCAGAACATTGAGAGTTTAAGTGATAAACGATCTCTAAGAAATCAGAAGAAAATTACTTACTTCCAGAATGTCTGTAAGGAATGAATAAAGCTTGTGAAGCGATCTTTCTTAGAAAAGTGATTAACTTAAGTTTCAAAAATAAAAAATGTCGAACATAAATAAAGTATCTACTTTTATTGAATTGAGAAACAGGAATTGCATTCACTTACCAGAATATTAGTCATTTATAGCTTAGTTGAGGTTCTTTAGCAAAACTTTAACCAATTACGAAGTTAAATATTTTCAAAACTACAATGTTCGAATTAAATAACTGTGATATTTACATAAGTTTCACAGATTGAAAGAGTTAACGACTATCACCACTGAAAGGATATCGATGTAAAAATTTATCTGATCCAGTTGTCAGAGAAAGACTTCGACAATCGAATTTGTTAATAGATAGTTTATCAAAGCTGAATACATTACACTTTTAATGATTTTCTTATATCAAAAATGAATGACTTAATTCAATATTTCATTATAGGCAACTGAAAGACTCTTAGATAACATTTATACTATTTATTTTTGAGATGAATGGGGATTTTTTTTAAATTTACAAGTAGTATTCATCATGGACTGACATCAGTTGGGGAACCATTGAAAATCTGGGAGCACTGGACAACTGTTTCGTCCTAGTATGGGACTCCTCAGCAGTACGCACCCACGACCCGGCTAGGGGTCGAACTCAGGACCTTTAGGTTTCACGGCGAACACGTTAACCATTCCGCCACTGTCCAGTGCTCCCAGATTTTCAATGGTTCTCCCCAACTGATGTCAGTCCATGATGAATACTACCTCTAAATTTATACTATTTATTGACTTGTTTTGTTTCTTTGCTTCAAAAGTTCACCTCATAATATCTTGAAAAACGTGATTATCTTTGAACTAAAACCTCTACGATTCACTCATTCACTGTAGAGTGTACTCACTCAACTACATAAAACATAAAAGGTATTGAAGTATTGTCTAGTCTACACAATAACGCTTCACACTACATAGATTAGTCTACACCGAGGCAAAAGGCAGACTATAAAATCATGCGCAAGTAAGCTAAAAGATTCAAAAAAAAAATGACAAACGTCAAAATATGTAACAGGAATAGTAAAATGAACTTACAGGAAGAGAAGATAACTGATTGTTTTCTACATTGAATTCATCGAGTTTTACACAGTTAGCCAAACTTGCAGGTATTTCTACTAGTTGATTATATCTTAAAAGAAAAGAAAATTAACGATCATATTTACCTTACTATTTACGGATAAGTAGAGTAAAAATGGGAAATGAATGTGCAGCAGTGAAACAATATAATTATTGTTATTCATAGTATCGATACACCTTCCTCAACTTCAAGGAGAGTTGGAAGACCAACATCTACTTCCCATTCAGGTTCAGGATGGATTTTAGGTAACTGAAGCGTTGCTGAGATTCAGTTGAAAACTGTGCTTCAAAGTGTTCTGTCAAACGTTCTATCTGCCTGTCCTGACAGGTTATCAGCATCCCATCCTTTTTGATGGTGGTCACTAAGGCTTAGTCAGGCAAAGAGATAATTCAAAGAAGAGCTTTGGAAACAAATACTTGAATACGAGCTTCGTGGAAGCAGAGAAAGAAATGGACGGAAAAATAATGAGATTAAAGTACAGAAAAGTTCATGACAGGAAAAGGAGACAAGTAAATGAGTTAGTAAAAAAATTCGAAACTACGATGACAAAATGTGCATATGTATGCACTACTACGATCGATTTCAGGCTATATTATAGTCTTCCGCCATTGATTCATATCATCCCGATGCCTGCACACAGACAACCTAAACCTCCTTACATGACCCACATCAAACTTCAGGGACTCCATGGACTAGTGACACTACTTAGTCTGACCATCCTCAGTTTTCCCCCCAAGTCAATCCTACTTTGACTAAGTTTGCAAGATAAGCCAAGCAGTGGCTCAGCATGTGCACCACATTTTCACATGGCTTCAGTTTGTATAACAGATGCATCTCTTAGGATAAATGAAGTAGTCAATGTATTTAACCACTTTACTCTCCATTCTTAAACTTGGAGTTAGTGCAGATTGGCTTCTAAACATCATCTTACATTTGAAAAGTTCTAACACCGCGCATAACATGACAATATTTCGTCTAAAGTTTAAAAATTGAGCGTTTTGTCAACATGTTCGTCTAACAGGAATGTGCCATCTGCTTACTCTAAGTCAGCGGGATCTCCTCGCAGTAGTAAGTCATAGCTATTGAGAATTTTGAAGTACTCAAAGCCCATCTATCAAAACATCTATGATTAAGTTGAAAAGAATGAGAATGGTGAGAAGTATTAACGGAGACCACTGCTTATCACTAGTTTAAGAAAACTTTCCATAAGCCCTTACACAGCTAGAGAAGTTCAACTAGAGAGTCTTGCTTAGCATATTTGACTTGTTTGGTGCTCTTTTCACAGTCAGACATTACACAAATACCTCACGGTCAATAGAGTCAAATGCAGACTTCAATTCAAGAAATAATGATCGGTAATTGACTCCGAGGAAAATTTCCTCTCTGATAATTTCATTTACTAGAGTTGTACAATCGTATTTTAGAATCATTAAAAATAAATAAGAGTCTGTTGTTAATCCATAGCGAAACATGAGAACTATGATGTCCAAGTGTATAATAGAAAGTCTTTAAAGGCAGAAGAAAATTACGACTTTGACCATGGTAACGCTAATGAATGAATGTAATGTTTCTGATCACAAACATTTAGAAGAATGAAATTTTATCAATAAACCTTCTTTCATATCTGAAAGCACCTTGGTTTTTTTGGAGTTTGGTATTATTAAGCTTAATTTCAACATCAGATGATTATGGAGCTCAAGATCATGGAAATAATCACCAAACTAACTACCTTATGGCGATTAGAGACTTAGAAGATCACCGGTCTAGAATAATTTGATAGGACTACCTCCGACTCCTCCCATATGCAATGTACTACCCACGTAACCATAATCAGTAACTATTGGATGTGAACTAGTAACTGTCAGTGCTTCATCTCACTTTAAGTAAAAGTTGGAGGAGAAAAGCCTCCCGTTTAGGCTGTACCTGGATGTTCCTCAACTAAATTGACTGCAAATCAGTAAAATTTTCTTTCAAAGTTTTCCGCCCAGCCCTCCAACCGCCTCTTTTACAGGATTATTAGAAACAAGTCGTTCTCAGAGATATTCTTATCAACTATCGTTTTCACATCAGTGTTGTTGATAAACCTAAATAAGTGCTGAATATTGCTTAGCAATAGAACGTTGTGTATCTCTATATATTACGCTACCCACCAACTACTACTCGCATTTATGATGACTCTTAGTCGATTTGCCTTTAGGCTGCTTTCGCTCTTCATCGTGACCAGAGTTAGACATTTCCTCTCATACTGATCAGACTTCTGGAATTCAGTAGTTTTTGTCAATCTTATGCTGCACGTCTCGAATTACCTAAACTATGATTTCGACAGCAGACTGGATATTATACCAATCTTCATCTCAATGTGAACTAAAAGCATGCCCAGATAAAGACTTATTTACACTCTTGGAATATGACCAGGTTGATAAAAAAAACCGAAATTCATCAAGTTACTAGCTGCTAGTCTTAGCCGGTCAAGCCAAATGACTTGGAAGGAAAGACTCTATATTTAAACCCAGTCCTGTGAGATAATGTATATAGGTTTAAGAAGGCCAATAGGACTAATCAAGATATCGCAGTACAGTAATTTAACTATATAAAAGACCCACTCGGGTAAGTATTCTAGAGGAAATGTCAGCTACCCCTGTATGCACTAAGCCGTGACAACACTACAGGGTGAAACAGTTGCAAAATCCAATATAGTTAGATAGAGAAAGAAATATCACCTTATCTCCAATATAAGCGTAACATGTTGATAACGTTAGTAATTCTAATCATTGATAGTTAAGCGAACGATATGATAAGACAAAATGTCAATTACATGAAACTTACTTGATAGATAATCTACATAAGTTTACTAAATTGCCTATACTATCGGGAAGCCTCGTCAACTGATTGTGTTGGAGATTAAGATCACGTAATGATGTACACTGTCCAATACCTGAAAGTAAATATACAGAATCCTGTTAACGCTCAGAAATGAATAAATAGAGTTAGAGCATAATGTTTAGTAACTGAAAGATGATGATGCCGCCTATTATGATGCCTAACCCTAACCCAACTCAGAGAACACAACACCATCAAAACCATCTTCTTTAGCTAAAAATATTCTCCATCATCTAAAATAAAACAAAACAAGTTCTTCATCTAATCCCAAACATTTCATAGTGATGGTGTGAGTGTTTAGACTAAGCAAATGATTTTCAAGCGATGAGTCCTAATTTCAAATCCCGCGTCACCCACTTCGATCTGGACAACCGGACAGTATAGAAAGCCCACATACTATTATTGAGGCGCATAGCTTAGTATACAAGCCGGTATCGATTTGCGCTATAAATACAAATATATGTACATGGTGACGCCTGTTCGAGATCATAGCTTTACTGAGTCAAAGCCTTCTCAACTTTCACCAGAGATGAACAGCTTATCTCAGTGTTCTATTCATAGTCTGGCTGGATAGCAGATAACCGAAAACTAGCTTCTAGCCAGGTGAGCTACCTTCCGAAATATCCTACTAATAGTTCCAGTTATAAAGTAGGCGGAGTTGAGTTCGAACCGGTTACAAACTGGTTGGAAGTACAGTAACTAGGATCGATGATCTACAGCTCTACTGAGCCTAGTATACTGCTCCACTACTGGCTTTAGCCTATTACACTACGATGAAACGTAGCTATTAGAATTAGAAGATTTGAGACTTGGTGTATTTGACCATCATTTTCCTCAAAATATCGTGTTGGTGTGACGTGTAGATCTTTACGTAACGCAGACAATTAAAACGATGAGATGGTAAGTCTTCATCAACTGATGTGATTTTAAAAGTAATTGACCACTCTCACGCTCAATCCTAGTCCAACATATGATACCAGAAGAAGGTTAACGATGACGAAACCAAGATATAACAATGTCTGACTACTCGTCTGATACGCGCAGGTGTTGTAGTTGGTGTCCATGAGATAATCCAAATCGATGGCAGCAAACACTACATGATATAACTAAGACTAAATCACGACGGTGCAGACACTTATATCTTATCCTTAACGAAATCGTAATGCCACATACGTTTGCTTTATTTCCTTGTCTTTGTGGCTTTTTACCATTTCTGGTGATAAGGTATTCTCCTTTTTTGTCTCCTCATCAACTGGCTTCAACTTTGATGTACTGAGATGAAGTGAGGTAGCTAGGACCGATAAGCAATCACGGTAATTTAAATGCAATGTTTTCTAGGCCGAGTTAAATTAGATGTATTCGAAAACTTATAACACTACTCGGTTGGCTAGGCTGTAGTAGGTAGAGTAAGATTTTAAACAAGAACCAACTGCTTCAAAGTTGAGTCCTTAGGCCAACGAGTAACAACTCCCGAAATGTCATATCAATCTTCCACTATTTTATTGGTATTTTAATGTCCGTCTCTCAAGCAGGACCAAGTGAAGCCTCATAAAACAAACGTAAGAAATGCCTCAAATGAAGCGTAACGTCCAATACTTACTATCAGGCAAGAAGGTGATATGATTAAAAGACAAATCTAACTTCACCAACTTAGTCAGTTCACCAATAGAACTAGGTAATTCCTGTCGAATCAGATTCCGACTGACAACCAATACAGATAAGTGCTGAAAGAAAGCAAAGAAAAAGAAAATAAAAGAATTAGCAAGAATTACCTGGCTATGATCAAAGTATTGAGTACAAACTAGATAAGCATTGTCACAACTTAGCGTTTCACTTGCATAGCTTAGATGAGAGGATAGAATGGCTATGATAACTTGAATAAGTGGTCATGGTATCTTAAAGGTTCACAGGACAATTCTCTAGCATTCAAGTTTCAATGGAAACACCAGCACTGATTATGATCCTCGTATATTCATCTTGAGAATCGTAAACAGAATGAAAAGCACATTTTGAATTTCACAATCAGGCGCGATCAAGATAATACAAGAATGCAATTATGTTTTACATGTGAATTTTACGAACAAAGTTATATGCACCGAATCTTCAACCTTTTATGCTATTATGATCAGTGTGAAACTTAAAATAGATTCATCTGGGTAACCATACCTAACCAGTACTTACTAACAATGACCCTCTTTATTAACACTTTTGTTTTAGGTGAAGTATAAGAACTAGTACATATAACAAGCCTTATCACTTACCGACAAATTACACGCATTGAAAACTAAACGTCTTTTCAGGTCTGCTGTCAATCTGTAAAATGAAAGTGTTTATGAAACATGTTTCTCATTTCATAGTAGATAATGTTACAAGTGTGGGTTAGTGTTCAAACTATACCAGTTCACGACGATAAGTAACTTCAAATTTAGGTGAATAACTTTAAACTTGCTACCCTATATTTTTCAGTTATTCGCCTGGACCACTCTGTCAAAAATTCACGCATAATGAAAACCAATACAACATAACACTTATGTAATTACCTGCTTTAATCCTATTATAACCATAGTAGGAGATATTCATTGTAAGGGAGTTCTAGCAGTAATAATGTATAAATAGTTAACTTTTGACTAGTCTTAACAACACTAATGTCCGTCAACCCAAATATTTGTTACCTCCTATCTCAATTAGTATAAATCTTGTCGATTTATTAAAGTACATTGCATAAACTGTTGTTCATCGTCAACATTATATTCTATAGGTTGAAAAGCAGCCGGGGAGAATCTACGAAACACATGAGCGTGAATTATGCTAATATTGTTCTCCTTGCTTTATTCAGATCCCTATATTTGTTTAAATGCTGATGGAGTGGAAGCTTCGGTACGGCGTGACAGTATTTGAAGTATGCGATGTGCTATAAAGGCTTATATTTGTTTAACCCGAGCATGTACAATAGAACTAAATTAAACAAACTGAAACACAAAGCTTACCTTTAAATACTTTATTTCGTCTACAATATGAGTTAATTTATTATATGTAAGAAGTAAATGTTCCAAATTATGCAGACCACATATACAAGTGGGTAATGGACCATCCAAACGGTTGTAGCGCAAATCCAATTGTTCCAAATTAGTGAGTTTTGTTATTTCACTTGGTATACCAGTTGCTGTCAGCCAATTCTGTTGTAACAGTAACCGTCTCAGATTTGTGAGATGGCTGATACTGCTTGGTAGCGCAGTCAACTTATTGCCATAAAGAAAGAGATCCTTTATAAAAGATAGATCTTTAAAAATTCCACTTGGGATCTGTTGAAGATTCATATTGGAAAAATCGAGATATTCACTATGAGACTCCCGACATTGTGTAACTTCCTTGCTAATGTCCTACAATAAATACAGTTTATATATTAAAACATTTTTCATAGGTATCTAGAATATAGGACAGAAAATCTCAACATAAGTACGGCAATACAAAATTAGTATCCCCCGTACACCTTGTACGGCTGAAAACAAACAAAGAGAATTTTCAAAATCTACAATTTAAGACAATATTTGGTCAATACTATGAGAACACAATTATCGTTTCCTATAAAAAGAAAGCTACATAGTAGGGAAAAATAACAATAAGCAAACAACTCGCTTGTCGTGAATCATCGTTTCTCACGTCTGGATAGTACGAAAGTTACTGATATCTTAGACGATCGGTGTTAAACTTGTAACCTATTAACGACCGGATACATTCATGTCGACATATTTAAAAGATGTGAGTCATTACAAACAAATTAATGCGTAGTCTATAATACCTTTCTGGACAATCTAGTCAGCTCCCTGGCTAAATTCCTACTTTTCAACTTGAAGCAGCAGTGCAACGTGGCACCTTAGTGGCTGAAGTCCAATACCAACTACCAAGTTAATTAGTTAGCTTAATGTTAGTAGATCACCGGGTATGACATACCATCTAGGATTCCTGATACAGTAGGTCAATTAAACTACTTAAAAGAAAATTTAATGACCAGCCTGTCGAAATGCCAAGAGTACTCATAACCTGGCCAGTTGATTAGTCTTAAGTTCTAGAGAGAAATAAAACAGAGTAACTAGGATGCATTACGGTTAAAGATGCTCCTTGACTCGAGAGTTACTCCACATAATTTTAATTTTAACAAGTATATCATTATAAAAAAACAGTACTGCAGGGAACACGTGTGATTAGCGTATTTCACACTTTATCGAAAATCCCTTAAATACAGTGAATACCATCAGTAACAAAGATGTCTAACTTCCATTTGGGAGTCACCACAACCTCAGCAAGGGAATCAATGTTAAAGAGCTGATAGGAATTTTTTTTGGATCCGTTGGTGTCCAACCCGAACGATATCTGTAACCATGACATGGTGGTAGGAAATGCTTATCACAATGTCGCGACGAGCTATGCTGGTATTACACTTGTTTTTTCAATTCCTAACGCACCAGAAAGGCCAGCTGAATAGTAGTAGTAGTAGTAGTAGCAGTAAGCAGTTACCATTAACTTTTGAATTGCTACACCATACCAAAGGTGCGCCAAGGCAAACTCGTACTGTCTGGATGGGTTGTAACACCAGCATAATGCTTCCCTTGGATGACCAGCAGTGCCATGTTTATGCTGCCTTCCTTATGCCAAAAGGGGTTGGGAAGGTCAGTCCCTATACAGTACACTCCCTCCTGCCTTACGGTATTCCGGTGCTGGAGGTATGGGTTTTTTTTATCCGATACTAGAACAGTCGAATCTCAAGGCAGGAATCCTTAATATGCGGTGTGTATCCCCAAAAGTAGGTATTCTGTGGGCGCTGCGATTACGCAAAACCGCTCCCCTTTTCGCCCTCAGGCACCTGGCATAAACAAATCCTACGGTATGGAGAGTCGAAAAGCACCAACCGTACGCACATTTCCAGCGATGTATAAACCCCAGTCAATAATAGCCTACCCTCCTTATTTCTGTCTCCTCCATTCCCATCACTTACTGATGACATTATTAAACCTCTCAAAATTCCCTGAACTTCTCAAATTGCAACTATTGCGAAAGGCCCAAGCCAGCGAAACATCATTCTTATTCTCCTAAATCCCTGTTGGTAATTTCACATTTGGGCTTTCTACATCTGAAACTTATGCTAAATTGGAAAACAGACCTCCCTCTCCAAAACTCTCGAATCTCGAGTGGTGGGTGTATACTGTTTTTGAGACACGCATACAGAACCCAAGTGTGGCTATTCACTTGACCTTGCCCGACCACTGCAAAACTCGTTTCAAGTGTCCAGAGATCCAATACCTAGCTTTCAGGGACTCGCTGAATTAGGCATAGTATTAAGTTTTAGAGCGGAAAGTGCACTCCTTGATTGGATACCAGTCAACAGCCATATGTGTGCTGTTCGACTGAATGTATCTGTAAGAACTAGGAAAGGTGGTGAAACTAACCGATGCTTATTCGTAATCTATACCTATACATCCACCGAAAGCAGTTTGATCGATACAAAGGATGCACTCCATCAAAAGCTGCCGATTTCGCTACATAAATCAACACGTTCAGACAGAGTCATGATAGAAGATGACTTCAACGGTCGAGTAGGAAAGATGAGCTATGAATCGCAGAACCATACATCTCCAATATGACCTTACCAACCACTGGCCTTTTTACTAGTTTCCTTGATCATTTCACACCATTAGCTACTGTTACTAACCACTGCTGCTTTTTACATTTCCTTAGCCTTCGGTACCGATGACTGCTCATGGTCACTGTGTACATAGTTAGCATTTGGAACGCTTCCGCTCACAATTGTGCTTGGAGCCTGCAGGAACACATGCACATCCATCCACTAATTCTCATCGTCAAACTGTGCTGGATTTAGTAGTAGTACTATACATCGATTTTACATCGATTTATGCCCAAACATGAGCAGGATCACTATCAAAACGTGCTACAGAAGGAGCGACAATCTTCCTCCAACACCCACCCACTCCCCAGTGACAACTCAGCAATGACGTCTACCTGTCTCCAATGTTCAGTTGACGTTAGGAGGTACCATGTCAAACTGTCTTTCTTTGTGTCCGAAGTTTGTCCAGGCCAGAAACAGGCAGCCATCTAAGCACAGTTGTACTACGCAATCGCCACTTTCCGCTCTTCGGCTGCAATTACGACGGTGCTACCTAACTGCTTTTCTGCCCAAGAACTTGCCCACTTGTGCACTGAAGTCACCCGCTAAGATAACCACATCTCAACATTTGTCTTTCATGAGCAGGGTTGACAGTTCTAGGTAGAACCCATCCTTCACTTCCTAAGTACTGCAGTCACTTACTGGGTGAGTAAGCACAGATTCCAAAGAGACAATGATGAGTTTCACTATTCCTTTTTAGCTCTACTGCACCAATGAGTCGGACGACGCATAGACGACTGTCAACCGGAATCAAGTCGGGCAGTGCACTTTCTGCCCCAGTGCACCGCTATACCTAAAACTGCAAGACTGCGAAAAATCGAATCGGATCTCCAGAAATCCAAGAAGTGGATTTTATGGACTTATTATATTGGTCGGATCGGGTTACATCTGTAACAACACTCGTGTCCTGTATTTGTGTCTAACAAATACAACACGTGTATGAACAGAGATGCTAGAGTTCGCCCTAACGAAACTTGTTGGCCGACTTGATGGGGAGTGTGGAAATTAAAGCTTTAATGCGCAGTTTGGAGCGCGAGTTCAGGAGTGCAGGGATACTGTTTTATTATTTATTTATTTATTAGAATACAAACATAGTACAGCAAGGACACCATTAAATGTGCCACACAAAGTCGTATAACAACAATATGAAGATATAAACGATGGGAAGTGGATAAGTAAGAAAGGTAAACAATAAGGGTAGCACGATTAGAAGGGGAGTCCAGTAAGGTATATTACAAAGAAAACATTCATTAGTTATCAGAAGTAGAAGATAGGAAGAAGTTACAGCATAGCCGCCACTGGTTTCGATTCCGATCCATATCTGATAACATCTCAAGCCACTGAGTTGCATTATCTCTTGGATACCACCCAGGGAGTCGTGATGAATCAACAGCTGCCCACTCAATACAACTACTATTCATCCCACGGCGCCATGTCGTACACTAACTACTCCTCCACTTCTCCCATCCAGTCTCTGGGCTAGCAAACAAAGAACGGTGTGGAAGCCACTGAGACGAAATGCGTAACGTGTCCAAGCCACCTAAGCCGGTGTTTCTAGATAACTTCACTTATGAATGACGATCTCCATCATGCTCAAATACACTGTCTTACTTCAGAATTACTTACATGGTGTTGCCCCCGAATAGGATCAATCCTACGGAGACAACGATGGTCCAACAAATAGAGTTGTAACACATCCTCAGCTTAGAGGTCAGGTTTCACAATCGCAGAGCAGAACTCGCACTGAAGCGTTGAAACCCAACCTTTTGCGGTTAGCCTAACGTCGTGACAGCGCCAAACGTGGCCCATATTGACGTTTGCCGTTCTGGCTTTTGATATGCAGTTGAAAATTTCATTACACCTCCACCATCACTCACACAACTACCCGGATACACGAACGTTTCGACTACTTCCAACGGCTCACTACCAAGGGTGAGCGCAGGCACAGGCTCCTGCTAATCTTGCAAAAGTATTTTGCACTTCAATGGTGCAAAGCACATACCATACTTACGGACACTAACTGCCAACTGACTAGATGCGACTTGAGTAACCTGTGTTATCGCACAGTAAGAAGATATCGTCCGCATATTCCGGGTCGAATAGCCATCTTCCCGGTAGTAGATCTACACCACCATGCAAATATTTCAGAGTTGTCTCAAGAATTTCACCGATGGCAAAGTTAAACAGGAATGGAGAAATCGGGCAACCCTGACTAACCCCACTGGTGATTTGGAACAACAGAAACAGATGGTGCTATGCCCTCACTCTACCTTACATTATTATTTAGGGATTTCAAGATGTTAATAAATTTTTCAGATACGTCCTTCTCCAAAATATAATTCCAGAGTACAGCTCTGTCCAACGAATCAAAGGCAGCCCTAGTGTCAAGAAACACGACGATTGTCGGTATGCAATACGTGTGACGATGTTCAAGCATCTAGCATCAATGCATCCACGACCTGATCAAAACTCGACCTGCTCTACAAGAATCATTCTTTCAAGTGTTTTGCAAAGTCTGCGAGGTATGATAGCGGTCAGAATTTTCGATGATTGTCACATACAATAAGTAGACCTTTTTTAAAGATGGGCACAATGATGGCCTTATTTCAGAGTAATGGAACACTCTCAGTCTATTATACCTTCCCCAAACAATCTGCTTAGTTCCCTGACTAAAGTCGTTCCTCCATCCTTAAAAAGAGTCGGGAGTAAATTATCTGGGCCGGGTACCTTGTGGTGTTTCAGAAACTGAAGTTCCTTATGGACCTCCGCTTCGTTAGGTAGGTCAGTGTTAGCTGACCACGGAGCACGATACACTGAAGCTGACAACGCTGGAATCGTGGGTCAGTTAAACTGCTTTTCAAAGTGCTCTGCGCAGCGTCTTAGGCAACTTTGACTATACGCCGGAATGGTCCAACGGGCGTCAAGAAGTCGTATGGAGCTCGCAGAGATCTTGTGCTTTTTAGCGTGACACTCTTCCAAGCCATAAGCGGCTTTACTCGCCATATTCATGGCGTCCTGCAAGTGCAGACAATGCTCGTCTACACTTTCCGGAGGATAGGTAGGTTGCGTTGAATCTAGCTCAAACTGGTATTTAGCTGCAACGTTAGGTGCAACTAATTTGCTTGCATCAGCCTGTTTAGGACGACGATTTTGATGAACACCAAAACGCAAGACGAGCGTAGCACACACTAAAGCATGATCAGAGTCTAGATAAGTACTCCATACATAGCAACAGTCCTATATGCACCCACGCCATCAGCAGCTGATTGCAACACGATCCAGGCTTGAGTGGTAGAGGGAGAAAGCTAAGCAGCACAACGGTGATGACTGTCGGAAGTTGGTGCTGGCTACAAATAGACCGTGATCTGCGCAAAGTTACGGAAGACGACCCTCATTATCCAACCCGCAGCCAGCTAGTCCTCATTAGCCACCTAAACGACTCTCCTGAGTTCAGACGCCCAGTATGTGCATTCAAGTCCCCTGCGTACTTGATTATTAGGGGTTGTCCAGAAGTCGGTCATCAACTATTTCATGTAGGGTCAGTCAACGATGATTTTTAAGTTCTATTTAACTCGTCATATACGTGTCTACAGAAATTCTTTTATATGAACTGATTTCCTGGGTGATTGTTCCATTGGCTAAGAATATATGGACGACATAGTTTTCGTAATTGAAGTCTTTCGAGCACTGTACTATGATTTAATAACGTTCGGGGATGCTTCGACTTCGTCTCACGTATGAACCCTCCCCTAAAAGCTTAATGGCTTCTGGCCCATTTAAAAAGAGTAAGTACAAACCCTGGTCCATGTAATATAAACGGAATCCCTACACTGATGCTAAATGCTTTTTGTTTTGACCAAATTTGTCCACTAATTTGCAAAACGCCAAGTGTGCTGTTAAGCAGCCAGAAGCCGATTCGTATGACCGTGCAACAGATATTAGGGGTAAAAAAATTCATAGTGACTACCGGTATTTGTCTATCATTGCTAGCGCAGCAATTCCTTTATGTAGTGTAACTTTAGTTTGAACAATCCAAGCATTAGATACATATAATTCAGTAAGAGGAGTAAGGAATTACAAAACCTGCTTTCCGGTAGAATTCCGAAACAACCAAAGGATGGAAAGCAAAACTTGTTGGTGTGATGAAATTTTCGGGACCCTAAAGATCTTAAAAACCAGTAAGTAGTATTGCAACGGGTTTCTAATTAGTGAAGAAGGATGAATAAGGAAAGTGGAAACCTAAAGAAAAAGGAAGTAATCATCTTTCATAAGTCTGCAGTATGTGACAGGAAAAATTTGATACACGAATAAATAAAGCAGTGATGGTCCATTCAGTTGAGAATGATGTAAGACAGATGTTACGTTATTCAGACAAAGTTACTCAACGACAATAAGACGATACAAAGAGGAAACTTACTGGTGGTTTAGTTTTCTTCATACTATGCTTCGGAACTACCTTAAACAGCTTTCCATCATGGGGTTGAACAAAAACAGCCTTTTTACTGAAGTCTGAACCACGTCTCCAATTACTCAAACGTATTCCGTGTTTGGTATCTTTAACAACAGATTTTGGGTTAACATCAAGGACTCTATTGATGTGAGACGATTCATCGACTGGGAAATAAGTGTCACAGTCAATATCATTTGAAACAGAAGGGTAGGAGATAGGGTCTGCAGAAGCCTCGTCGTCAGAATTATTATGGTCCAAAATTTTTGAAACACCGATACAAATTGAATCCACATAGTGATTACTGGAAGTGTCGTGATTACTTGTCATCACAATTTACATAGATCAGTTCTGAAAGGACCATAAAAAATATTTTTTTGTGATTTCTATTATCAATGGGGTTTCTTCCCTGTAAGAACTAGTGTGAACTACAGATGTGAAATACACATTTTATCGCGAACGATGACCTTAATTGCGAACAGCCTTCAAGGAATTTCAAAACTGCTCAACATTCAATAATTTGAAAACTCCGGTTCTGAAGTTGTGTGTCGTACAAATTGCAAAGATTTGTTCTCTGAGTTCCAGATATCCCCCTTCGTAAATCTTTTCCCGGCCACTGCATTATTAGTCTTGCTTAAAGCAAGTGCTACATTATGCAAGCGTGCTTCTTAATACTTTGACGGAAAAGTCTAACAGTGACCCTACTCACAGGAGGTGTGTCTTAGAAGCGACTCACAAAGTGCGCAAATGAATGCTTTTTCGACCAAACATTACGGGTTAACATTGATAACTAAACTTCTCTTAGATTCTATCTTGATATTTTCTGTCTAATTTTAACACTTCGTTAGATCTACCACAATGTCTTCTCCGTAAGTAACAACCTTTGTGTAGGAGAAAAATGCTGTAGATAACAAATGGTGGATATGGCGTTAGAAGGTAGAAGTGCTGAGTGAAGTTAGTAACAGCTAAACTAAACATACGACTGGATCCTTCTGTCATGTCGGACCTGAGATTTACGGCGACTAACCGAATAACATTTTATTGAGAGACCATTAACCAAGTAAAATAGATCTTGTTTTTATTCTTTGAGTTAGTCATCACGATGTCAATGGGCTCGTGTTATCCCGCCTATTGTCTAAAGCCAGGTTCCACTGTTGATTTGTAGATATTGGTACAAATCTTTGAAACTCTCCCAGAGCCCGGATCGTAGTGATGTATTAAGTGTTAAATTTTTGGTGTGCAAACATCAGTCCTTTTATAGACATCTGCGTGGATCTTTTTACCAAAGCAAAGCACCAATAATTCAGAAGAATGCCTAATGGAAGATGTTCTAAATTTGTTTGGTCCAACGAAAAAAAGAACAAAGTCACTCAACCAGTTTTCCTACGCTCAACGGATGAACTTGTATGCTCTGCACCACGGTGGCCTTCATATAAAAATAGTTCGAAATTGATGGAGTACAACGCTACCTCTCCCTTGGAACAATTGAAGTTGACTTCAGTCTAGGGTATATTTCAAAATGTAAACGCTAGGACCAGAGCCCTACCCAGATAGCGACTGAAATCCAGCATTCCTTTTCGTTAAACGTTACTATGCAAGCACCTGCATCTACCGGTAAAATAAGTTACCAAAAACTTCAGGGCAACTTCCCTGATAAGTTTTCTCGCATTTGAAATAAGCTACCAAAAGAAATAACTACGGGTAAATGTCTATTATTCTCTCATTCCTCAGGCAATAAGTTGACCGCAACGTGGGTTCCTAAAATCACGTTTATCCCTGGCTCGTTACTTCAGCTTCCTTGACTGCTTAACCACTAGCCAAGACCAACGATTTTTAGCCTTGGTCTTGTCTTTTGAGACCTTCGATGAGTTTAATGGCGTGGACCATTTTGTGCCACGAGTAAGACTTAAAGCCAAAAAGATAGAATATGCGTTGCTGGGTCGGATCGGATTTCGCCTTGACAACCTTTCGCCGATAGTGAGAAGTTGGCTTCGTCTTTCAAAATCCAGAGTCATCATACCTGGTACTCCCTTTTTCACCCTTTACCTCAATGACCTCTGTAGTCACTTCTCACATGATAGACCTCCTCTCTTCACCAATTACTTTAAGGTAGTCTACCCATTCCCGACTGGCGACTTAAACTACTTTCAGACGTTGACACAGAACGAAATAGGCCAGGTAACCAACAGGTCCACTGTATGGAAGGTATTGAAATAACGGCGAATATTTGTAGCTGGGGTGAACTGTCTTCGTCGTATTGTGTTCTCTGAGCTGGGTCGTCTAATCGTAGAGCTTTCATAGTCTTTCTGGATGACATCGTCAACACTAACTTCCGTATTAAGTGAGCTATCATTATCTCTCCGTGAGTGATTTGGTGGCTTGCTCTGACGATGTGGCCTGTGATTGGTTGTTTCCTTCGACTGTTGTGTTATTGACTGTGTGGGCTTTCCTACTGGCCGTTCCTCAGCTTGACCTCTGACCTTTCCATCGCCTATCGTTCTTCTCATTGGTTAATAGACTGGGCCCATGTCTATACACCTGTTGGTTGCTGATTGACGGGCCAGTAGCAGGTCCGACACAACGGTCGAAAGAAACAACCAATCACAGGCCACATCGTCAGAGCAATCCACCAAATCACTCACGAAGAGATAATGACAGCTCACTTCATACCGAAGTTAGTACTGATGATTCCGTCGAGAAAGACTTTGAAAGCCTCCCGATCAAGCAGCCCAGCTCAGAGAACACTATACAACCAAGTTATGGAATGTTTGATTTGACACAGACAATTTTGGATGGACACGCTTTGGTGCACCCACCTTTAACATGCAACTGGGTCTGCAGTTTATGAACCTACCAAGCCTCTAAAGTGTTGCCTGCGTGAGCCTGAGGTGATCTAGTGAATTGAGATTCACCAAAAAAGCGGCCATTTAGATTTTATGGCAAAGAATTCCCTTGGACCGCACGATCCACATTTTTTACGGCCATGAAGAAGAAAACTCCTCATCTGCTAGATTTTTGCCAGACCACTTGTGGAATGCTGCTCTTTTATCCGTATGAGAAACAAACCTGAGACAGTATCCAGTGGTATTTGGCAGTTAGCCTGCCTTGACACTGATATGGACAGAATTAGACGTCCAGATGTATATCCCTTAAGTTGCAGACACTTTGGACGAAACGATTGGAGGTAAATCTTGTCTTGTTAAACAAGATTCCACTCGAAATTTATTGTCACGCGATCAACAACTTCAATCCTCACAAAAGGGGTTTCTGCGAATCACTTACCCAAAGACGTAGAGTTGTAATCAGAACTTTTGGAACATCACTACGCATCAACGCACTCCGTGAATAAATAGTAATAACAATATCTTTCATACAAAATAGGCTGCATGAACACAAACCAGTTTGCAGATGTGATCACTCTGGCAATGTTGACTCACTGTTACTTACAGTAACAAGCAATATATTAGATATGGTTATTTAAGGCATATGAGAGATGAGTTTAAAGAAAAAACGTTAAAGTTTTGCAGACAACAAGGAATGAAATAAAAATACGAAGTGTTTCGCGTCGTCTCCAGTCTCCAGTTTTGCAAACTAATTGTCCTCGGGACGCAGAATCCTCAGCTGGTCACTACCATCACTCTCTGAACGAAGGGCTCTATAGTAGGTCTAGCTGTCTCGATCGACTGCTACAGCTTAGGTCGCTGCATTCACAGCACTACTTGGCTCACTCGATCATACATCTAGGACTTGTATGAAGCTTTAGGCATTTTTCTGAGTCGTGCAACTAAATAGTCGAAGGTAAGGTTGACAGTACACCCTAAGTACCATACACTTTTTATTTTTTACTCGATCTACGAGATCCAACGAAAACTATATGAGGATAGACCGAAAGACCTAGGAATGTACTGTCTTAGCTACCGAAAGTTACGAGCCGGCCTGATAGTGGCTTACGAAATACTGAACAACCCATCACGCTAACTGAGAACTACTGCCGATTGAACACTATGGTGATCCTCGTGGAAACCCTAATAGAATTTCCCACCAAAGGTCAAAAACTCCTGTGCGTTCACACTTCTCCCTCCGAATATGCGGGCACTGGACTGTATTACCAGCAGAGGTAGTCTCCGTCACATCTGTTGAAAGTTCCAAGAAAAGGCGAGACAGTCACTCAGAGACCCATGGTCTACCCACATATAACTGGAACATGAACTGAACGGAAGAAATCGACCGACGTCATGCTATTCTAACCGCAGCCACCTACTCCCTTTTCATCCCTTCCACTTGCCGTGAGTTGGTCTCATCTACGTAAGTTCTTCATATCTTTGCACCCTTTTACGCCTCACCTGGGTATAAGTAAATTACTCCATTAGTTAACTTTTCTTTTCCCTTTTACTCACCCGAAATTTTGTTTTCTAGGTTTCCTCTCCACTAGCTCAAACTCTCACTAATGACCGGTCCAATCAGCTGCCTGACAACTCAACCCAATGTGAACCAACTAACATTTAACCTCCTGTTTTGCACGCCAGAGCTATAGCAGACGAGTGGCTGGATCTACTGCATCGGGATCCGCCGAAGACATGGGGCCGTTCCGCAAGGCCAAGAAGCGAGAGAGAAGCCAACCAGTTTACACAAGCTCACAAACAGATGTTGGATGTCGGATATCTTGCTTTCCCTCTTTACTACCTGCCGAAATAAGCAGTAACAGTATTTCGGCTAAATCCTTTCCCAAAAACACCCCAAGCAAAGCCTCACCACAACTACTAACCACACTTTTCTTGGTGGCTGCCAGGGCCAGAGGTAAGAAGTATGTGACCAGTCAAGTACAATGACTCGAACTCAGTAGAACGGTCACGAATACCAAATCCCGAAAAAAGGCAAATCCACACCACACACAACCCCCAGAATCCGTCTGCTCTCGTTGGCAGAACAGCATATATTCCTGGTGCACCCAGCCCAAACCACAGCCTGCCCGCAGAAGTCATCGTAAGAAGACGGCAACCAGCGAAAGGAAAATCCCGGAGTAAACCCTCTGGCCATACGTGCTACCTCACTGTGATTATAAGGGAGGCGCCTTTTGAAAGCGGCACATGTTAGAAGTCGGTACACTGTCAATGTGGCAGTGACGCGCCAGACCAGTCTTACGCCTCCGTGGTATCTTACCTATGGACATTGTTCTGATATATCTGCCGACAGTTTGGCACACGGCCGCTTCCATATACGGACTGGCATGAGAGGATTGTAAAAGACACCTTAGCGGCTACCCGAACACCAGCACCCGCACAAACTGCTGCCACAAGCGATAATTCTGTGAGCGGGAGTTTGAGTGTCGTTCCCCTGAAAGTCACGCCTACAGCTAGTCCATAGGTGGCCAAACGAAGGCCACTCGTGAGGTCACCATCCTCAAACCTTGAAGTTGCCTCGACGACTGTTTTTGCTGTACACCACGAAAAATGGGTCACAGTGGGAAGGGAGGTGTACCGTTTCCACAAACACCAACCTACAGCCATAGTCAGAAGGAAAATATCAC